AGATATAGTTTTAATATCAATTATTATATTGTCCATAAATTTCTACTGACTTAAAATGCCACATTTATCACAAATTATGATATAAACATGGTCTGCTCATGCACTTTGTGTCCTAATCTCTTGATCTGTCAATTTTTATATTTTAGTCCTGTGTTTTAATTATCTTTTAGGATTCTCTCTATAATCCTAGTCTCCCATGTTTATTTCTCTAGATAAATTCTTAAAAATCATTTCATGTAGTAAAAAAGAAGTGTTTTGAATATGAGCACTTTTAAGTGAAAATCTAATGCAGGAATTATTTATAGATTTACAATATTGATAACTTATGCCAACACTAGAAGGAACAGAAGGAACAATAGACCATCACAGGACTCATCTAAATATTAAACTGCTCTAGGACTTATATCAGAAAAAATAGACTTCGAGCCAAGGAAAGTAAAAGAAAAAAGTCAAGGAAGGCCATTATAAAATGATATAGGGATCAATTCAAAAAGAGAGTATAACAATTCTAAATATATATGCACCCAACTCTGGACCACCCAGCCATATAAAGCAATTACTATTAGACCTGACGGGAGAGATTGGTTCCAACACAGTAATAGTTGGGGACATAAAAACCCCACTTTTAGCAAAGGACAGATCATCCAGACAGAAAATTGACCAGGAAACATCAGAATTAATCTCTACTACAGGCCAACTTGACCTAATGGATATTTATAGAACATTTCATTCAACACCTACAAAATGCACATTCTTCTCAGCAGCACATAGAACATTCTCTAGATTAGACCATTTGTTAGGACACAAAACAAGTCCCAACAAATTTTTAAAAATTGAAATCATATCAACTGAATTATCTGACCACAATGGAATAAAATTAGAAATCAACAACAAAAGGGAAACCAGAAACTGTATGAATACATGAAAATTAAAACAATATGCTCCTAAACAATGAATGGGTCAAAGCAGAAATCAAGAAGGAAATTAAAAAATTCCTGGAGACAAATTAAAATGAAAACACAACATACCAGAACCTGTGCAAAACACCAAAAGCAGTTCTAAGAGAGAAGTCTACAGCAATAAATGCCTACATCAAAAAAGAAGAAAGACTACAGATAAACAACCTGATACTACACCTGAACAAACAAGAACAAACTCAACCCAAAACCAGTGGAAGGAAAGAAAGAACAAACATCAAAGTGGAAATAAATGAATTAGAGATTTTAAAAAATGCAAAAGATCAATGAAACGAAGAGTTGGTTTTTTGAAAAGATTAACAAAATTGATAACCTTTAGCTAGACTAACAAAGGAAGAAGAGAGAAGACTCAAATAAATAAAATTAGAAATGAAAAGGGGAACATTACAACTGATACAATAGAAACACAGGATCATAAGAGACTACTTTGAACAATTACATGCAAACAAAATGGAATACCTAGAAGAAATGGTTAAATTCCTGGTCACATAAAACTTACCAAGGTTGAATCATGAAGAACTAGAAAACCTAAACAGACCAATAATGAGTAATGAGATTGAAGTGGTAATAAAAACTCTTCCAAAAAAGAAAACCCCAGGAACAGATGTCTTCACTGCCAAATTCCATCAAACATTTAAAGAAGAACCAATAGCAATTCTTCCAAAAATGTGAAGAGTGAATACTTCCAAACTCATTGTATGCGGCCAGCATTACCCTCATACCCAAACTGGCAAAAGACACAATAAAAATAGCAAACTACAGAGCAATATCCCTAGTGAACACAGATGCAATGATCCTCAACAAAATACTAGCAAACGGCAAGCAGAATCCAGCAACACATTAAAAAGATCATCCATCATGATCAAGTGGGATTCATCTCAGGGATGCAAGGATGATTCGATGTATGCAAATCTATAAACATGATACATCACGTCAGTAGAATGAAGGAAAAATAATACAATCATTTCAATAGACACAGAGAAGGCGTTTGATAAAAATCCAACACCCCTTCATGATAAAAGCACTCAACAAGTTATGTATAGAAGGAATGTACACAATAAAGTCCATATACAACAAACCCATAGCTGACATCATACTGAATGGACAAAAAATAGAGTCTTTTCCTCTAAGATCTGGAACAAGACAGGGATGCCCACATAACCCACTCTTATTTAACACTGTACTAGAAGTTCCAGCCTCTGTAATAGGCTAAAGAAAGCAATAAAGGGCATCCAAATCAAAAAGAATAAGTCAAACTGTCCTATTTGCAGATGACATGATTCTATGCATAGAAAACCCTAAAGACTACATCAAAGAAACTGCTAGAATTAATAAATGAATTCAGTAAAGTGACAGAAAACAAAGTCAACTCACAAAAATCAATAGCCTTCCTATAGGCCAACAACAAAGTAAAAATCAAATAAACCAATTAAAAAATGGGCAAAGGACCAGAACAGACATTTCTCAAAAGAAAACACACAAATGGCCAACAGGAACATTAAAAAATGCTCAATATAACTAATCATCAGGAAAATGGAAATTAGAACCACCATGAGACATCATCTCACGCCAGTTAGAATGCCTATTACCAACAAGACAGAAAATAACAAATGTTGGCAAGGATGCAGAGTTTTACTCTAGTATATTGCTGATGGGAAGGTAAATTGGTGGAGCCACTATGGAAAGCAATATGGAGGTTCTTCAGAGAACTAAAAATAGATCTACCCTATGACCAAGCTATCCCACTACCAGATATATACCTGAAGGAAATGAAATCAATATATCAAAGACACCTGCACTCCCATGTTCATCACAGCACTATTCACAATAGCCAAGAGATGGAATCAACCTAAATGTCCATCAACAGATGAATGGATTAAAAAAACTGTGGTATATTTACATAGTGAAAAACTTCCCAGCCATAAAAAAGAAAGAAATCCTGTAATTTACAGCAAGGCAGCAACATAGATGAACCTGGAAGACATTATGTTAAGTGAAATAAATCAGGGACAGAAAGATAAATACTGCATGTTCTCACTCATATGTGAAAGCTATAAAAAAAACTTGAGTTTATAGAAGTAGGGAGTAGAATTGTAGTTACTAGAGGCTAAGAAGGAGAGAAAGAAGGGAGATAGTAGGGAGAGGTTGGTAAATGGATACAAAATCACATTTAACTAGATAGGAAAAATAAATGCAGGTGGTCTACAGAAGTGCTAGGCATCTATAATTAACAATAATTTATTGTATGCTCTCAAATGGCTAGAAGAAAGAAGTTCAGATGTTCTCATTACAAAGAAATGACAAATTTTTGCCATGATGAATATGATAATCATTCTGATTTGATCACACATTGTGTACATGGACTGAAATATATGTCAGCACCCTATAAATATGTATAATCAATACATGTCAATTTAAAAAAATTTTTAAGAAAAATAATAAAGGTCAAATTATAGAATGGTGTGTTTAGAGTGATCCTATTGTATAAAATGAGTTATGCACGAGTACAGGTTCAGTCACACAAAACTGGCTAACTCCGGGGAAGGGAGGAGGTAATCAGAAAGACTGACTTGTTGACATTTTCGTCATATAATGTGTCCTATGTGCCTTTCTATGTGTGCTATGGGTTTGTCATATACTGACGCACTATTTTATAACAGACCATTATAAATTATTATAAAATATTCAAATTTAAAATGCCAAGCAATAAGTTTATAATACAGGTCTTTGGGATATGATCAAAATTTTTTTTCTATATTTATTCAAATATAAAAGCAATAATAAAATAGCTTTTAAAATTTTAAATAGAAGTAATATAATCTAATACATTGGTGCTTTTATAACTTTACATCTTGGTATTCCTTATGCTAAAAAGGCAAGTTAAAAATATTTTGTGTCATAAATATAGAGTAATTGTTAGTACTTAAGTAATAATTATAGTATATATAATATCCAACATTTTTTAAAGTTGCCAAAGGGTTGTAATGTGCATTATTATCTCATTTGAGGTTCACAACAGTCCTGTAAATTATGGATGAATATAATACAATTTTAATGGAAATAACCCCTAAATTCCCATATTCCAGAAACATAAACATCTTAGACAAAGATGAAATTTTGCATTTAAAAATATTGTAAATATAAACTAAAACACAGATTCAGAAAACATATTTATCTTAAAATTTACCTCACTGAAGGTCTAGAAGAATAAAATGTACCACATTAGCATATTCTATGTACAATAGGAAAGAGTTTATCCATATTTAAAACCAGTGCTCGAAATTATTATCATATGTAAATCAGGCCCAATTTGCTCCATGTGCAATGAATTTGTATAAAGTAGGGTTAAAAACAAATTCCCTTCTTTCTTGTTGTAAAGATGCTATAAGCCACACACTTAAGACTGGAACACCACATACATTAAGACTCATATGATGCAACAATAAAGCAATTTATTTTTTTTTTCTTCCACTGTTCTTGCAAACCCTTTCAATGAGGTTTATTTTATTTTATTTTTTTCCTTTTCTGGATGAAATCTCAGGCAGGACCTGTAACTCTTCCTGTCATTGTCTGATTTTATAAAGGTCCCCAGTTACATTACTCCAAAAGATTTATTCAAGTAACTGTTATGTTCAAATAAAATAATGATCAAAACTCCAAACTTGATTAAAATTTAAATTCCTCACTCATAAGTGAGAGTTGAATACATAAATAAGCAAATAAACAATAGACAGAAGAAAAAAGAAAGGACAATCACAATAATGCATTGAATTTTTAGGAGAGATAAAAACTGGTTACTAAAGGTGGAAAGGGGGAGCAGTGGGGGAGATGGAGGGGAGTTAATGAGAAATTGGTTAACAGACACAAAGAATGATTAAGTGTTGTAATGATGAATAAGCTAACTGTCCTGATCTGACCATCACGCGTTGTACACAACTATTTAAAGTCAACTTTGTATAATAAAATATGTATAAGAAATCATCTTTGGTTTATTACATATAAAATATATGTATAATAACTCACCTTTAAAAAATAAAAATACATCTCTTCTCTCCCTCTTCTTGGTCCTACCAAAAGCAGAAACACTTCAGGGGGAAAGTGGTGGGCGCCTTGGAGCAGGGACAGGGAAAAGCAGCAAAGAGTCAGGAGAATCTCTCTCTGTACTGCTTCCGAGAAGATGGTGAGCTGTCCACAGATTCCCTCCCCCTTCCCAGGAGACAAGCCTCTCTCCTAAGCCTTCTTGTCTCCCAGCACACTTCATATCACTCCAAAGGAGCATTGGAAGGGAAGTATATATTTCCTTTAAATTGTCCACTAGAAACACCGGCTGGAGAATCAAAGGGTGAGCATGGGTGAAAGTGGCAAGGGCGGGGACAAGGAAGGGGCTCCCTAACTCCATAAACCAACTGAGAATAAGTTGGGAGAATCACTTGTACACACCACTGCATCATGCCAGCATCTCTGTTTGAACCTTGAAAGCTTTCATAAAACTTTAGTATTCAATTTCATCTTATTCACACTACTGCTCAGGCATTCATCATATTATTTTAATGTTGGTTATAATCACATTCTTATGTATATACTTTTTGGTACACTTTAGGCATATATTAGAGATACGTGACATTTTTTCAAAAATAAATTTAATGTTAGTTTTTACATTGAGTGGAATGTAAAAAACTTTTCAAAATATTTTCTGAATCAGGAAAGACCCAGGAATAAATTATTTAACGATATTTCTTCTATATGTGTATAAATATAGTATCTCAGGAGGATCATTAAATAGCAATTACTAAAAGAAGCAATTTGTCATGTGAGAAATTTTTGAGTCAAAGTAAGCTGACGTTGTCACTTTATATTAAAATGTTTGTCAAATTTGCTGTTTTGAATAAGAAAATTCAACTTTTATATTTGTTGACAAAACTAATATAGTGATGTACAAGGTTATGCTGACTTCCTGCACCCCTGGAACCACCTAAATCTATGTTATCTAATCAGTAAGTTCACAATCCCCCTGCTTGCTATAATCAAAATCTGGTTTTAAAATTGATACTTATCCTATTCCTTGTAGGGAACAACAGAGATGAGTAACTTATCGTTCACCTAACAACTTAGGAAAATAAAAAACAAGTGTAAACATCTGGATTTAGGATTCCTACATTCTAATAGACAAGATTTTCCAGCTGACATTTGTCTGGTAACCAATGGGGTATGATTCTCCTATTACCCTGTTTATCACTATTGGCAAACTATGTGACAATATAAGCACCTATATAGTTTGCCTTCCCCAAAAGCCAAATAATTTTCAGACCTAGGGTTTATGATGTGGTTGTAGATAAAAAATTATTTAATCTTAATCACACTTGGGGAAACTCATAATGTATTTATCTATCCTTGCATTCACAGAGGAGATTATTTGACAAATTCCTGTATTCTACATAATATACTAAATTCAAACTCTGTATTAGGTACTTAGCATGCAAACATAGGAGGAAAATTGGTCCCTGCCTTCAGGATTTTAAAGAATGTATTTCCATGCTAACCAAAAATTACAATGCAATGTATCCTTGCTGTAATAAAGTTACGTACCAGATGCAGGAAGAACTTAACGCAGGTTGCTGGCAGTTACCTGGGAGAATCCAAGATGTATTTTAAAAGCAGGGGAGCCTGGAGCTAAGACTGACAGGATGAATAGGCACTTGGGTGACAATCAGCAGCAGGCATGACAGATGCAAGAAATATCAGGTGTGAAAGCATGAGGAAGTCTGACAGAGTCTGGCAACACTAAGTAATTCAGAAAGGGAAAATTGGAGGTATCAGTGAGGTACCCAGCTTGTGTAAGTTTCCTTCTAAGCAGAATCTAGTAGAGTATTCAAAAGAATTTAGGTTTTCTTCTCTGATTTTTTTTTTAATTAAATTTTCATTTTGTAGTTGACTAAATATCTGTGTTGGAGAGATCATTCTGGAGATGACACACGAGGATGCATTAGAGAAAGGTAAGCGTAGAGAAAGAGAGATAAGGAAAATAATACATGCACAGTTCATCCAAATGAGAAGGAGTGAGAGAATTAGGGCAAGGGCAATACAGATGGAGAGAAGGGACCAAGAAGAGAGATGTTTGAGATGGTGAGAACATGTTGAGTTAATGATTGTAGAAAGGGACCAAGAGGATAAATCTAGGATGAAGTTCCTATGTTTCTGAATTTGCCTAATGAGAGTATAATCTTAATAAGATAAAGGATATAAGATGGGAAGTAAGTTTTGATTTGTTTTGTTTTTAGTAAGACTTTGAAAGAAAAAAGTTCTCCTTACATTACATTCGATTTTAAGTTCCTATGAAACCTTTGTAGATTTTTTTGTTGTGAAATAAAAATATTTTTAAATCGATTTATTTTCTGTTTTACATGATTGAGAGTATTCATGAAGTCATTATAAAGATCCAGTAAGGTTTAAATCTCATTTTTAATATTTAAATTACTGATATCAGGGTAATTAAGCCAGACGCTATGATAGAATTGTACAGTTGAAAGAATATATAAAGTAGTGGTTCTCTATGCCTTGAGAAATACTATTAATGCCAGATTATCTTCTTTAGCATCATTCTCTAAAGATTCTCCTCTTAAATGTTTTTGCACATGGCATACCTAATACACCCATTCATACTTTCCAGTGGAGTGGAGAGAGGTAAGAGTAAGAAAATCCAGTCAAATTACAGCAGGGCTAACTGGAAGCTGACACAGTCCCTGGAGTGTACTAAGATGGATAACGTTGCACTTACCAATACTTATCTTGAACAGAATATTGGATATAGTTGAAAGGAAGATGTTGATAAATCATGTAGGGTCAGAGTGGAAGTTAATAAGAATCTCACAGGCCATTCTTGAATAACAACATGTGGTTTCTGAATGGTCTCCCAAGAAAGGTAGGTACTATTATACTCAACGTTTTTCTGGAAAGGGGCATTCAATTTCTGAGTTAGAACTCATTTCTTAGTTATAATATAAGAAAGGGCTGACTCTGCCTGTATGGTCCTCCTTCTATGCCTTGGTCTCAGCCTCTCGTCCAAAAATTGTCAAAGTTTTATTTGTTTGAAAGGAAGCCAAATTACTTGGTCTGCCTGAGGCATCCAATCATTAATATTCCCAGAGTGCGCATGCATTTAGTACAGTTAATCCAAACATGTAAATTTAAAATGTTCTTATTGTCTAAAACAAAGGGTTTGTTGAACTGAAAGGTTTTTCTTTTTTTCTTTTCATTTTTTACTTCCAGCCTTTACTATTATCTGTGGTGTGCTTCCATGAGATAGAAATACCTCTTTTAGGGTCAGCATGTTTTATATTGGCATGTTTACCTCTAATATCCAAACTTGAGCAGGTTTATGATTATGAAAAAGAGGCAATATGCTGGGGATATTAGTACATAAATCATTGTCAGAAAACCATCCCTGTGTTTCAAAGCAGCAAAAAGCTTTTAAAGGACTGATATAGTTCCAGTCAAAGGACATGCAGAGTTTTTTGGGTGTTTTTTTTTTTTTTTTTTTTTCATCCTATCTGTGTATCTTGTAAAAATCTGGCACCTCTTAAGTATCAAGAAATTCAATTGATTAAACATTTCTATAAATAGGCTCACTTAACAGGCACTGATTAAAGAAAAGCTGTCAAAACTGAAGTTCTTTTCTTAATATCTGTCATTTTATACATTTTTTTTTTATTTCAGAGTTAGAAATGCAAATTGTTCTTTTAAAACTACAGCATTTAACCAAAACAATGACTAAGCATTTTTCTAAAATAGCAGAAACAAAGACAATCATTCTAACTCATTTTAAGAATTTAGAAGAGGAGGAAAGATTTATTGTTAAGATTGGTCAAACTTTATCATATCAATTATGTGGAGATATTCAATTTTAACATTATTCAAAAAGTCTTCATTCAAGTGTTTACATTTAGCCTATTCTTTTGCCTCTTGATTTTATGCAGCAAGTTTATTGGGTGATGTAGTAAAAACTGACCTAAGTGACAAAGTTAAGCAGAACTTTTTAGGTCACAGTCATAGATCTCATTGTTAAGACATCTCTACATATTTTACCAATGTAGGACAATCTCAGAACAGAACTGAGTGGATACAATCAAGGAAACCATTTTTAAATGGCTAGTTAAATTAAAATTTTAAAAATCACTAAAATTGGAATCAAAAGATTTACAACATGGGTCTGCTATTGGTTGTTGGTGTCTTGACTTTGAATAAGTTTTAAGACCTTGAATCTCAGCTTTCCCATATATAAAAGAATAAGAAAAAACAAAATTATTTCTAAGTACCCATGCTTTTTTATTGTTCTACAGTTCAATGATAAAAATAAGTTTAAATAATGAATTATTGTTTTTTATTTCCCAATGTCTTGTACTCTGAGCCAACTCCTTAAAATTCCTTAGTATAAGAATCTAAATAAAATTAAGTTACTCTTGTAAGACAATAATTCTCTTTTTTTTTAGGGAAATAATCATTAGTCCATATGATGAATATAATAAACATTGACAATAAAATTAACTATCTGATTAACCACTGTGATTTCTGTAGAAAGAAAGCGTAGGGGGAAAAAAATCAAAGAAAGCAGGGGGAAAAGCAGAAATGAAAAAAAAAAAAAAAAGAAGGATTAATTGGAAATATTTTTTGCCCAGAGGAAATAGTACAACAGAGTGATTAGTAGATGATTAAATCAACCCTGGATTTGAAGTATGGATTTGAAGTACCATCGCTTGCTAACTGTATGACCCCAGTGAGATAAACTACCCATCCCTAAAACCTCAGTTTCCTAATCTCTATAGTGGGGATAAAAATAGGAACCAACTCTGAAGTTGCATTGAGGATTAAATGAAATAATTCATTGAAGAGGCTTAGCACAGGGCCTAGCAAGTGCTCAATAGCTGGAATGGGCCTCAAGCATACCTAGAGTTTAGTCTTGGAAGCCTCAGGGATAACTTGAGAAATCGACTGTCAGTTTATTCCTCTCACAGTAAATACTAAGAATTAACGAAAAGTTTTGTAACTTTTTTTTTGGTGATGATGACCAGACAGATATGTAGCAGCATCTCC